GGCTAGCCGTTGGAACCGGCACTAATGTATACATTTGTGCCGGCTCAAATACAAACCGGCACTAATGTGCTTCACGTTTGACCCTTTTTCTACTAGTGAGAGGGATGCAAACTCATGTACTGCATAGTTCCGCTCTCACTCAAAGTGATAGCTCTTCTCGCGTATATCATTGTTTAGATGGATGAGGATGTATTTGCAAGTAATCGAGACTTGTATCGCTATTTTCGAGATGATGACGAGAGACCACTTTGTGTTGGATGATGATTATGATGATGACATGATTTGATGAGACTAGTTGTATGTATATGCTATGATTACATTTGTATGTGTATGATATGCTAAAGATTATTGTATAAAGCCTATTCAAATACAAAACAAATATGCAGAAAAAAAACTAATAAAACTAGTAGTAGCGAGGGGAAAAAATTAGCAGTAGCGCCGCCTTACCAGTAGCGCTTCCCTGTAAAAAGAGTTGCAGATAATATCAGCAGCACTCTTCTCTGAAGCGCGCTACAGCTATCCATGTATAGCAGTAGCGTGGGACGACAGGCGCTACTGCTATATGTTAGCTGTAGCGCCTTATCAGTAGCGCATTGTCCCGCGCTACTGATAGGCCTAAACCCGCGCTGCTGCTAGGCGTTTCCCTAGTAGTGCATGCTTGCTCTGCATATTGAATGTCTTACCCAACGCAATTTTCTTGGCCGCTTGAACCTCTTGGAGGGCCTTTTGGGCTTTCACTTTGGCATCCTGTGTACTCTGGCGGGCCTTCGCAAGCTCGGACTCCTGCGTCTTGGAGTCACGCTCCAAGGACTCGAATTTTTTGACGAAGTCCTGGAGCTCTTGCTGGACCTCATCAACCCGAGCCTCTTGTTTCTCGTGCTCGGTGCGCTCCATGGCCGCCTTGTCTTCGGCCTCGAACAACGCCTTCTTAAAGGCCGCCACATCGGCCGTGGCCCCTATTAAATACATGATGCTTCTCTTAACATCAACAATCTTTCTTTATATGACATACAGACGGGGTATCACTTACCTTTGTTCTTCTCGAGCTGCTTCTTCACGAGGCCGAGCTCTTCCTCGGTCCACCCCAGGTCCCGCTTCAGTTCGGAGACCTCCGTAGTACAGGCGGCAGTGGCCAGCAGCGACACCTGCTTATTCACATAGACATAATATGATTAGACTCCTGTGGATGTTATTTGATCCTCTGTTCGGCTTTTCTTTATGATCGCCAAACAGAGCATCAGGGGCTACTGTCTATACTGTGATATTCTTTCATAATTTAATTACTTACCTCAAAGCCTGTTAGGAGGCTGGCGGAGGCTTCGGTCAATCCGCTTTTGGCGGACCGAACCTTCGCAATCACCGTACTCATACGAGTACGATGTTCTTCATCAATGGAAGCGCCCTGAAGCGCTTCCAGCAAGTTGTCCGATGCCTATGGATGGATAGAGGTCATCGGCACGGACGGCTCGCCCCCCTTATCGAGGGGCTGCCTGCCTGAGTCCGGAACCACTGGAGGTTCCGACGCAGTATCCGGCTGGAGGCCAAACTTGTTGCGGCCCCCCTCACCAGAATCCATGGGGGTCTTCCCCCCCCCCCCCATGTGTCCGATGTCAGGGATTTCGCCTTGGGGCGCCTCTAGAATTATCTCCCCCTGGCCCGGTAACCTCTGGGACAACACCTCGGCGTCGTCCGCGGGCCGGGGGGTGGTGGCCGTTGGGAGCGAGTCGTTGTTTATTGCCGACGCGCTCAAAAACCCATCCGAGGAGGATAAGTCGATGCGGGCTTTGGACGGACTGCACGATCATATTTAACATGACAAGAAGCAATAAAGCAAAACATGCCAGAAGTAGTATGGCATCCGGATACTTACGACTTCGCCAGGGGCTTGTCCCTGGGCAGCCACTCCTCATCGTTGTAGGCGGCTTTTGTGGAGTGGTCCGGAGGGAGGGTCCTTCCCTTCTTGGATCCTTCGGCCTCCCTAGATGGGGCATCCTTCCTTTTCTTCTCCCCCTCGATTTGAGGGGGAGGGTTTTCCTCTTCCTCCTCCTCGTTTTCATTGGAGGAGTGCGCCTCGGTGTCTTCAGACAATGAGTCCGATACAACCTTGTGCCGGAGACCTTTCCTGGTCCCTGTGGCCTCCTTCTTGGCCTTCTTCTTCAGCACCTCATAGGGCGCCGGAAACAGCATCTCCATTAGGAGAGCTGTCGCTGGATCTTCGAGTAGTGGAGCTGGGCAGTCGATCCGCTTCGCTGTCGCCACCCAGTCCTATTAGATTGGTGTGGAGGCTTAGATTCCTTTCACGAATATACTGGGGAAAGGAGCATCTTGTAAAACATAGAGAACTTACTGGATTGGCGGGGCGCTTTGCGCTGAGCCTGCGATCTTCGGTAACAGGAGGAGGTACCTCGGCGGCCTTGAACAGCACCTTCCAGACGTCTTTGTGCGTCATGTCGAAGATCTCTCGCAGCGTCTGGTGTTCGGCCAAGTCGAACTCCCACATATTGAATGCCCGTCTTTGACACGGGAGGATCCGGCGGAAGAGCATGACCTGGACCACGTTGACAAGCTTGATTTTCTTGCTTATCATATTCTTGACGCGGTTCTGGAGTCCGGTCAGCTCCGCTGGCTCACCCCAGGCTAAACCCTTTCTTTTCCAGGAGGTAAGCCGCATGGGGATGCCAGATCAAAATTTGGGGGCCGCCGCCCAGTTGGAGTCGCGCGGCTCGGTGATATAGAACCACCCCGATTGCCACTCCTTCACGGTCTCCACATAGGATCCTTCGAGCCAGGTGACATTGGGCATCTTGCCCACCATGGCGCCTCCGCACTCCGCTTGCTAGCCGACCACTATCTTCGGCTTCAGGTTGAAGATCTTCAGCCACAGGCCTAAGTGGGGCTTGATGCGGAGGAAGGCCTCGCACACGACGATAAATGCCAAGATGTTGAGGATGAAATTGGGGGCCAGATCATGGAAATCCAACCCATAATAGAACATGATCCCGCAGACAAATGGGTGGAGGGGAAATCCCAGTCCGCAGACAAAGTGGGCGAGAAACACAACCCTCTCGTGGGGTTCCGGAGTAGGAACGATCTGCCCTACATCCGGGAGCTGGTGCGCGATGTCTGCGGCCAAGTATCCGGCCTCCCGGAGCTTCGTGATGTCCTCCTCCGTAACGAAGGAAGACATCCACTTGCCTTGCAATGGCTTTACGGAGAAGGTGAGAACTTGGGCGCTGGAGCTCAAGCGTGCGAGAATGGATGGGCAGAGGAAGAAGAAGGCGTGGGTGAAAAAGAGGGATCCCTATCTCTTTATAAAGGCGGTAGAAACTGTGCGCCTCCCCACTTGCCCGTTAAAATTGCTTATTCCCCAAGAGCCATGATTGATGGCGCGGTTGGGTTACCCACACCCGTATCGATGAGAATCCCGTGATAAGGGGACACGATCTCTGCTTTGACAAGACGTGCCAAGGAAACCGCCTCGCAATGTGTGCAGTAGCTGGTTGAGAAAAACGGTTCGAATGATGACCAGGCCGTGGTGTGATGTCACGCTATGAAAAGTTGTCAACAGATTAGATTTGTGGAATATTGTGCTCTCTACGGTGGTATGTGGAATTTGTTTTGCAGAGCCGAACACGATCCTCGTGTTCAAAATCTTCTATGGAGTATTCGGAGAAGGAACCCGCCTTGCAATGCCGGAGACAATCTGCGCGCCGGACTCATCGTCGTTGAAGCCTGGTTCAGGGGCTACTGAGGGAGTCCTGGATTAAGGGGTCCTCAGACAGCCGGACTATATACTTTGGCCGGACTGTTGGACTATGAAGATACAAGATTGAAGACTTCGTCCCGTGTCCGGGTGGGACTCTCCTTTGCATGGAAGGCAAGCTTGGCAATTCGGATATGTAGATCTCCTTCTCTGTAACCGACTCTGTGTAAACCCTAGCCCCCTCCGATGTTTATATAAACCGGAGGGTTTAGTCCGTAGGACAACAACAATCATAATCATAGGCTAGCTTCTAGGGTTTAGCCTCTACGATCTCGTGGTAGATCAACTCTTGTAATACTCATATCATCAAGATCAATCAAGCAGGAAGTAGGGTATTACCTCCATCGAGAGGGCCCGAACCTGGGTAAACATCGTGTCCCCTGCCTCCTGTTACCATTAGCCTTAGACGCACAGTTCGGGACCCCCTACCCGAGATCCGCCGGTTTTGACACCGTCACTCGCCGACCATGATGCGAGTGAAGACGGAGGGCAAAGGGGACAAAGATGCAGTTGCGCAGGAACGAAATACATAATCCAAGAGGGAGGAAGACAATACAGGGGAAAATGAATATCATCGAACGGCTTTGCGCGATCATATCCAATGATGCGTGAGGCGACCGGCGCCAGGCTCGGCCAGTCGACCCACACCTAGCCTCGGCATTTTGGAAAATATTAATGTGATTTGAAAATTAGGAAAGGACATTAATTTTATTAATTAAAATTAAAATTGGAATCAACATTAATGGCAAATAATCTTTGAAATAATTTTAGTACAAGATTTGCGATCTGAGAATGAGCCGCACAGGCAGTCTATAAAAAACCAAGACTCTTCTTCTTCTTCCTCCGTGGAGGTGAAGCTTGCGACGACGCTGTGTTGCCTAGAGTTGGTGGGTCAAGGCGCACTGTCGACCTCTGTCCCCATGCCTACGACCACGCCCTAGCAACCTTCACTTCTTTCTCTGCCCGGCGCTCTCCTTCCATTAGTCACGAAGGAACATAGGGCCTCCCGTTGGCCGCCTCCTCATGCGTGCCTTGCGAGGCGAGGGGTTAGTGGGTGGGCGTGCGGTGGGAGGTGGACCTCGCAGTCACCAGCGACCATTGCGCTTCCAACTGTCCATGTGTTGAGGTGAGGTGATGCCTGTAAATTATTTTAGTTTGATGATGAATCGACCTATTGATTGTTGTGCTCATTTCTTTCCTCTCCTGTAGAACTTTTTCCCACAACCTGTTCGGCGGAATGCACACTAGGGATCACTTCGAGGACCTCACAGATGACATCCTCTGGCATGTGCTCTCCTTTCTTCCGGCCAATGAGGCCCTCCCGACCTGCGTGCTCGACACCCGGTGGCGAGATCTCTGGAGGCACACGACCAGCCTGCACCTCGTCTTTGACGGGTCAGTGTTCCCGAGATACAAGCGTTTCGAACAGTTGGTGAAGCTGGTTATCCATCTCCGTGGGGAATCACCTCTCGTCACATGCGAGATTGATGCATATCCTGATGATGACCCCGAGCACACCTTCAGAAACACCAAGTTGTTGATTGATTACGCCCTGGCGTGCGAAGCTGAGGAGCTAGTAGTAAGAGCTGCTGACATTCGGTATGACATACCAATGTTTGATGTTCCTCTGAATCTCATCTCCCATCACTTGAAGACCTTGCACCTTGAACGGATCAACCTCGACCACTCTGATTTGAAGTTCTCAGGGTGCCCGGTGTTAGAGGATCTATGTATCCAGCTTTGCAGCATTCGTGCAAGCGAGATATCATCCATGTCACTAAAGCGTCTGTCCATCATTGACGTTTGTTATTTACGTCACGTTGTGCGCATTCAGATTTGTGCCCCGGGTCTCATCTCACTGCAACTATATGATTTCGAAGGATTGACTCCTTGCCTTGAAAACATGCCATTGCTAGAAACAGCTTATGTTGGGCTTGGCGATGGATGCTATGATTTTTGTCGTGATGGCCAGTGGGATTGTAGTAACCCTTTCTGTGGTTGCCATTTTTATCCTGTCAACAATGGGGTGCTTCTTGGTGGTTTCTCCAATGTTGTCAAGTTGGAGTTGATAGCTCTACCTAAAATGGTATTCTTGCACACTCTCGTTTTTACCCTTGGTGTTACTTTTCCACCATTAGTAGTTTCTCTTGTGATATCCATTGTTAGACCCACATATGAGCAACTTGTTATTTCAATTACCATAGTTTGGTACTTCTATTTATATCAAAAGTTGCTCTCAAAGCAATGATGAATAATCGTAGTGTCTTATAATTGGCTAAATCGTGATCGATATTTCTAGTGCTTGTGGTGTAGTTTTGTTTCTCTTTGTTACTTTTTGCAATGAAAATTATCAACTTGAAGTTTCTGTTGACTTAAATTAATTTATCTTGAGTCTCAGACTTCTTTTTTGTTCATTTGTAATTTTTTCAGTTTATCTACAAATGGGATTTAGAGTGCTGCCCAATATTTTGCAAATTAAGGACACTGATACTCAATGAGTGGTTCACGGCTAATGAACTAGTTTGCATTCTCCAGCACTCTCCACTTCTTGAGATGCTCACTCTCCAGCTTGGTAATACGGAGGTATATCCTGCATATGCATATTAATTGTATTACCATGTATGTGCAACGGTCGTGCTAAATATTTTGTATCATGTAGAGCAACATAGGAGCAATGGGGGGCCAAGAAATGATTGAGAAATCATTTGTGTGTGCACATCTCAAGGTTGTCAACATCGAATGTAAAGAGGTTGACGAGGGGATTCACAAAATTTTGAAGACCTTGAGGACAGGTGGCATACTTTGCGATCACATTAGCATCAAGACTCCGGCACCATCCACATATTGTAAGTTACCTGTTGTTATTCTTCATGTTTCATATGTTTGTGCAATCTTTCTATCTGTTCTAACATGTCTGTAGTAATTACATGTCAGCTTTACAAATCCATACATATTCAGTATCCATTATCCTTATTAGCTGGATTGCACGTTGATGGGGTTCACAATGACCATTAAATTTCAAAGGGTTTAGTTATTCTGTTAATTTGGTTTGAAAATTTGCCATTCTTGTAAATCACTATCCATACAAAATCATTTTTTGTTTGATTTCTTCCTCTTTTCATTATTTATTCACCTCCTCCGCTGGGTACCGCCACATTAGGTGTATGGTAATTGGAGTCCTCATATGGATGTGGTGGATGATTCGTAATAAACTTGTGATCGAGAGAAAAACATTGCCATGACCTACTGACGCGATCTATAAACTCTGTGGCTTTTTTCAGCTGTGGGAGCTGCCTAGCCGCAGCCAGGAGCATGCCTCCATCGACACCATCACAGGCGGTTTCATACCTCCAGTGGTTCGCTTGGCGCCTCCACTTCCTCCACCACCACCTAAGCCGGATTAGGCTTGGACACATTGTCCCCTTTTGCTGTTTGTGTCTTTTATTTCTCTTGGGCTTGTTGAGTTGTGCCATCGGCATTAAGCCTCTTGCTTTGCATGTGTGTTCGTGTGTGGCGCACGTCTTCTTTGTATTGCTACCTTGTTGGACTCATCTTCTTGTGGTATACATGGAGGCAGCAGGAGGGACAGTGGGTCTCTAACACAGCTCACCGAAACAGTTTCCGTTTGGTTGAAGTTGTAAACTGTGATGGTTGGCCAGAACAAAACATGTTTGTTTTTCCTTAATGAGAGATGAAAATCAGACCCGGACTTTGTTATGTTAAATGGAATCGGTCTGTATGCCATGTTTGACGGTCTGTGTTTCTTTTGAAAGAGTCTTTGCCTAAGTTAATTAATAAGTATTCTTCGTCTCTTTGTTCAACGGCGAGATCTTCCCGACGTCAATGGCGGTGTTGGAAGATTAAATTTATCTAGGTATGATCATTCAGATCTTGCTTCGCCAGATCAGTTTTGAATTTCTTCTCATGGTTGCCGCGAGGATTGTCCTTGCAATATCTGTCCCGACTGCGACGATGGTGATTCGTATTCTCAGCTCCCATCAACGTTGACCTGGCTGTTCAGTTTTTTGTCCCTAGAATACCGGTGTTGGTGCTCTCCGATGTTGGTTGATTACTTTAATGGATGCGTGCGTGATCCTTGGCACTACGACTCAAATTATAAATATGTAAGAACCCTCGTTGGTATTTACATGCATATGGTTTGATACCTTTGTTATTTTCTTGTGGTTGCCTTCAGAAAAATACAAGATTGGATCATGAAAAAAGAAAGAGTTTGAAGATCTCGAAGATTTGCTTGTTTCTTTTACACTTTGTTTTGTAATCGCTGTAGTCAACTCACGTATCTTTACCATGTACAATTCGTTACTATAAATATATCATGGTATTGATTGTGAAAAGAAAAATTATATATAGCAGAGACTATCTAGATGTTGGACCTGAACCTGGTTCAGGGAGTCAACGCTAAGTCTCAGTGTGTTTTATGCATCTTCTTTTCTTCCGTTTCATCAAGTTCAAGCTCGTTTGTCCGTCCGTCCGATGGCACCGTATCCTGGCCGTCCGTCCGTCCGTCCATGTACGCACATAGTTCGCGGGAGAAAAACAACAGACATGGCAGAACGAAAGGGCCATGGTGAGCTAGCGGCGTCAGTCATTTCCTTCTTGATATACAGAGCGACCTTGACCTCGAATTCAATATGCATCTGCTCTTATCAACCACCACACACAAATGGATAGGTAGAGTTAACAGAAATTGTATCAAAAATGTGCTGTTACGTAAGTCAGTGTACCATTTTTCTGGTGCAAGTTGTTGCACTCTTGGTGTGATTTATCCTTCAATGTGCACCTGCTGAGTCACAGAGAAAACTGAATGACACAAGAGCCCTGCTTTTACTAATCATCCAGCTCAAGCGGATACAACCGCTAATGAAACGGACTGCTCACTGATCATCCACCATGTCTACTCATCCCTTACACATGATTTTTCACCTTTTTGCAAAGACGAGGCGTGTGAGTTTGACGCGGCCGAAAGCCTTGGACCTCACCTGACTACTTGCGTCGCCGAAAGAAAGCGTTTCCATTCGTGCAGATTACTTCGTCAGGTCAGGTCACCCCTAGTTTTTGTACATAGATGCATCCTCTTCACTTTCGATTTTTTTTTTGAAACTATGATGATTATTATAGCAAATTCGGAAACTATACACCCTAATGGAGAAAAATCAAAAGTATCACCCCGTCGGCCTCCTGTTAGCCGAAAAGGGACTTTTCGGCCAACAGTTGGCCAAAGAGTCCCTCTTCGGCAAACACCTGCTCTACATTTTAGAAAATTCATATCAAATAGGATTTGTAGTATTTTAATTTGATTTTTTTGCATTAGATTAGAAATTTTATGAAGTTTCTGTAGATATCAAGTTTGACTAGATTTGAAAGTTTGAATTTGAATTTTCATGAATTTGCTCAAATCACTATATTGCCTATGATTTGAGCGGGAGAGAATTTTTTAGATGATTCTTTTTGCTACTGGTTCTTTGTGACTTTGTTTATCAGTAGTAATTAATTGGTGAATTTTAGGATTATTTAAAATTAGGTGATTCTTTTTGCTACTGGTTGTTTGTGACTTTGTTTATCAGCAGTAATTAATTGGTGAATTTTAGGATTATTTAAAATTAGGTTTTTACGCCATTCTCTTCCTCCATTTTCTCCTGCCATTTTATTTCCCGCTATTCTCTCCCTCCATTTTCTTGCCCGCCATTCTCTCCCGCCATCTTCTTTCCCGCCATCTTCTTTCTCGCCATCTTCACTTCTCAACTTACAAAACGAGCCTCATGGTGTCCACGATCGTAGATAACATCGTCTGACACGGTCTGTGTCTCCTGCGTCGTTGCTGTTGGTGGAGTGTGAAACACTGTCTCAGAGAAGTCATAAGTGTTTGCAGCTTCGCCATCATCATCGGAGAGTGTTTCACACTTATGACTTCTCTCACACAGTGTTTCACACTCCACATGAAGGCATCATCGTCATCCTCTGTCGATGCAGCACTTCTAAGTGTGGCGGGAGAGAATGGCGGGAAAGAAAATGGCGGGAGAAAATGGCGGCAAAGAAAATGGCGGGAAAGAAAATGAAGGGAAAAAGACTGCGGGAAAGTATTTTATTTTCATGTATAAAACGGCAATGGTTGTACAGGATTTACAAGGCACTTTAAAATATAAACTCCTATGAAGCTCAAAACAAGTTTCTAGTAGGATAAAAGAAATAAAATACAAAAAAATACTACAAATAAAATAGCTACTGATAACTAAACAGAAATAAAATGAATATGTCAAAAAAAACAAAGAAAAAATTTTAAAGCAATTAAAATTAAAAGAAATAGCATAAAACCTATAAAATACTAAAACAGAACTGTTTTCATAAAAACCTAATTTTAAATAATAATAAAATTCGTCAATTAATTACTACTGATAAACAAATTCACAAAGAACCAGTAGCAAAAAGAATCATCTGAAAAAATGCTTCTAGCTCAAATTATAGGCAATCGAGTAATTTGAGCAAATTCATGAAAATTCAAATTCAAACTTTCAAATCTAGTCAAACTTGATATCTACAGAGACTTCATAAAATTTCTAATCTAATGCAAAAAGAATCAAATTAAAATACTAAAAATCCTAATTGATATGAATTTTCTAAAATAGTAGAGCAGGTGTTGGATGAAGAGGGACTCTTTGGCCAACTGTTGGCCGAATAGGAATTTCTGGCCAACGGTTGGCCGAAAAGTCCTTTTTGGCCAACGGTTGGCCGAAAAGTCCTTTTTGGCCAACGGTTGGCCGAAAAATCGGCCAACGGTAGGCCGAAAAGTCCCTCTTCGACCAACCGGATGCCGACGGGGTGATACTTTTGATTTTTCTGCATTATGGTGTGTAGTTTCCGAATTTGCTATAAAAATTATCATAGTTTCAAAAAAATCCTTCATTTTCACGCTGCAGAGTTTTTGTCCGCCCGTCTGATCGACGCGCCGGTGACAGGTCCATGTATGTACAGCAATGAGTTTTTTTTACTGTAGGCAGTGAATGTTTCAGGTTTACGAGAGAGAAACATTTCGATGGAGAACATTACATTTATAGCCATGGCATAAAGAATGTCATGATAAAAACTTCTTGTCCAACTCCAAACGGTCAGGTGGACGAGCCATGTCAGTTCACCCTCGAGATATTGTCATTGACAGTGACAGAGTTGTTTATAGAACACAAGCTGACCTACTGTATGTACAATATATACTCCAATATTGCCTAGCATAGTAACCTCTATTGATGTGTCGGCACTTGGTTTGAAAAAGTTGCTCCTGTTCTCATGAATGATGATATAGAGCGATTTTGACTTAGGATTCAATGCCAAGGTTGCCGCGCTACCGCTCCGGTCAACCTCCATTGATGCTCCATTGATGCCTCACGGGCGGCGCAGTCTAAGGCGCCGCCGACGCGTGTCCCGCCCGCTCCCGCCATGCGTCGCCCGGCATGCAGCCTCCCCGCCGCCCCGCTGGGGCTATAAAAGGCGACCCCTCCTTGCCGGTGAACGCACAACCTCCGCCTGCATCCGCCCTCGCAAAAAGCAGCCCTCTCCCCCCTTCCCGCCAATGAGCAAAGCAAAGATGGCCGAGAGGTTTCCAGGCGATGGCGCGGCGGCGAACGGCTTCGGCCGCCGCCACCTCCAAGAGCCGGAGGCGCGCCTCCTCTACGAGGCCGAGTACCCGGCGCCCCCCTGACATGCGTGTGCCGAGGGCATGGACACTGAGCGCCGACGGTGTCCCGGTGCCCGAAGGGCAGCACGGCGGGCGAAGATCGCCCGCATCCGCTCCTACCTGACGGAGGAACAGTGGAACGAGCCGAGGTACACGCCCGACAGCGAAATGCTGTGGACGATGTACTTCGAGCGCCGCCGCGAGGAGCAGATCGCCTCCGTCAACGGCGTCATTCCCCGCGGCCGCCTCAACGCCGAAGGACGGCGCGAGTGGTGGGGCGTCCCTGGCTGCACCCTTGAGGCCGTCCTCGACCACATTGAGATCGGCAACGTGCCGCGCCTCGAGTACCCGACGCGGCCGTCCTTCTCTCGCCGCCGCGGCAATTCCTGGAAGCCGCGACGAACGGAGCTGACGTCCTCGTCGTCGGGCTCCGGCTCGCTCTCCTCCGGCTCGCCGGATCTCCGTCCCGTCAAGCCAGAGCCGGAGGAGACACCACAGCGGCGCCGCACCCGCAGCGGCGCCCTCGTCATCAACGAGGGTGCCCGCCCCTCCCCGCGCTCCCTTTGCCTGGTCCAGCCGAAGCCCGAGCCGGGCTTGCTCCCCGTGAAGCC